TAGGTGTACAGTGAAAGTCCATGATCATTTTCCTTTGTCCTTTTCTTGTCTTAAAACCACCCTTTCCTGTGTCTATGTAACTCCTGTGAATTCTCTGCTCATGTCCTTGACTCATTTCTACATTGAGGTTTCTCCTTCTGAATGTCACTGCTTTCTTATTTCTTCTAGATAGTATCCGCTGGTCAATTTTCAGCAATGCAAGGTTCTTTTCCCAATTACCACCTGCCTATTCATGGATCCTTGATATCCTTTTGTTGTTGTTGTTGTTGTTGTTGTTGTTGTTTGTGTTGTTGTTGAACAAAATTCTTAGGGAAACTTTCATGTCTGTTTCCTTTCCTGAGCAGTTAACATTTATCTCCAGAGGACAGCATCAGCACTTACAGAAGATACGCTTATGAAATTCAAATGCTCCTTTATGAATGCATATACACATTTTGTGTATGTTTTACATTGTTATTTCAGCCCCACTAGTTAACATATAGTGTGATATTAGTTTCAGGCGTTCAATATACTTATTCAACACTTCCATACAATACCCCGTGTTCATCACAAGTGTACTCCTCAATCCCCATCACCTATTTCTCCCACCCTCTACCCCTCTCCCCTCTGGTAACCAACAGTTCTTTTCTCTATAGTTAAAAGTCTCTTTCTTGGTTAGCTTCTCACTCTCTCCCTTTTTTTCCCTTTGCTCCTTTGTTTGTTTCTTAAATTCCATATATGAGTGAAATCACATGGTATGTGTCTTTCCCTAACTGGCTTATTTCATTTAGCATAATACTCTCTACTTCCATCCATTTTGTTGCAAACAGCAAGATTTCATTCTTTTGATGGCTGAGTAATATTCCATTGTGTATAAAAACCACATCTTTGGGGCGCCTGGGTGGGTCAGTGGGTTGAGCCTTCGGCTCAAGTCATGGTCCTGGGGTCCTGGGATAGAGCCCGGCATTGGGCTCTCTGCTCAGCAGGGAGCCTGCTTCCTCCTCTTTCTCTGCCTGCCTCTCTGCCTACTTGTGATCTCTGTCAAATAAATAAATAAAATCTTTAAAAAAAAAAGAAACCACATCTTCTGTATCCAACACTTGAGCTGTTCCTATAATTTAGCTATTGCAGATAATGGGGCTATAAACATCAGGGTGCATGTATCCCTTTGAATCAGTGTTTTTGTGTTCTTTGGGTACATACGTAGTGGTGCAACTGCTGGATATAGGGTAGTCCCATTTTTAACTTTTTTAAAATTTAATTTCATTTTTTCAGTGTTCCAAGATTCATTGTTTATGCACCACACCCAGTGATCCATGCAATACGTGCCCTCCTTAATACCCACTACCAGGCTCACCCAACCCCCAACCCCCTCCCCTCCAAAACCCTCAGTTTGTTTCTCACAGTCCACAGTCTCTCATGCTTTGTCTCCCCCTCCAATTTCCCCCAATTCACTTTATCTCTCCTTCTCCCAATGTCCTCCATGTTATTCCTTATGCTCCACAAGTAAGTGAAACCATATGATAATTGACTTTCTCTACTTGACTTATTTCACTCAGCATAATCTCCTCCACTCCCATCCATGCTGATACAAAGGTTGGGTAGTCATCCTTTCTTTTCTTTTTTTTTTAAAGATTTTTTATTTTTATTTATTTGACACAGAGAGAGTTCACAAGTAGGCAGAGAGGCAGGCAGAGAGGTGGGGCAAAACAGGTTCCCTGCTGAGCAGAGATCCTGATGTGGGGCTCTATCCCAGGACCCTGAGACCATGACTCACGCTGAAGGCAGAGGCTTAATACTCTGGCACCCCGTATTCATCCTTTCTGATGGAGGCATAATACTCCATAGTATATATGCCCATATCTTCTTTATCTATTCATCTATTGAAGGGCATCTTGGCTCTTTCCACAGTTTGGTAACTGTGCCCTTTGCTGCTATGAATACTGGGGTACAGATGGCCCTTCTTTTCACTACATCTGTATCTTTGGGGTAAATACCCAATAATGCAATTGCAGGGTCATAGGGAAGCTCTATTTTTAATTTCTTAAGGAATCTCCACACTGTTCTCCAAAGTGGCCACACCAGCTTGCATTCCCACCAACAGTGTAAGAGGGTTCCCCTTTCTCCACATCTTCTTCAACACATGTTGTTTACTGTCTTGTTAATTTTTGCCATTCTAACTGGTTTAAGGTGGAATCTCAATGTGGTTTTGATTTGAATCTCCCTGATAGCTAATGATGATGAACATTTTTTCATTCAAAAAACAGATAATCACATCAAAAAATGGGCAGAAGGGGCACCTGAGTGGCTCAGTGGGTTAAAGCCTCTGCCTTCGGCTCAGGTCATGGTCCCGGCGTCCTGGGATCGAGCCCCGCATCAGGCTCTCTGCTCCATGGGGATCCTGCTTTCTCCTCTCTCTCTCTCTGCCTGCCTCTCTGCCTACTTGTGATCTCTGCCTGTCAAATAAATAAATAAAAAATCTTAAAAAAAATGGGCAGAAGACATGAAGAGACAATTCTCCATTTTTAACTTGAGGAACCTCCATGCTGTTTTCCAGAGTGGCTGCACCAGTTTGCCTTCCTACCAACAGTGTAAAAGGGTTCCCCTTTCTCCACATCACCTTAATATTTGTGCTTTTGAGTTTTGGTTAAGAAGTACTTCTTTACTCTGAAATCACAAGGTCATTCTCCTACTGCCCCCCTTTCCTATTAACTTTATATTTCACTTTATGTGTAGAATCCATCTACTTTGGGTGTTGTCTTGGGCAGGAATCCCAACACACATCCCAAATCCCAAATCCACATTTGCACCACTTCATAAAATCTCCAGTTTCCCATCACAAACCAGTCAACAATCTTCTTTTTTTTTCCATTTGACTTGTGCTCTCACCTTTATCGCATATTGGGTTTAGAATCAGGCAGAGATATTTTCTAGATATCCAACCAACATGATCCATGTATCATATATATCATACACATCTGTTCTACTGTCACACTTTTTTAAATGATTCCAAGTCTATAATGAGTCTCAATGCAGGGAGGGATATCTCTATCTCTCTTGTGTACTCCATTTTTAGGAGACCACTGTAACTTTTCACTGACTTTATTTTTCAGAAAGAAATTTAAGATAGGTTCTGAAATTAAACTTCTTAAATTGTAAATACAGTTTTGCTGAATATAACTTGGGGAAGAACTGACATAATTGCTATATTAGCTCATCCCATCCAAGAGAGCACAGTGGTTTCCATATTTCCATGTATCCAGACCATCTTCTACATATATATCTATCTGTGGCTGAAATTTCTGTCCTTGGACATACAGCATTCCTTGGTTAATTCCTAGATATTTTAAACCAGAGGTTTTTAAAGTGTGATATGAGGATCCCTGGGGCCCTGGAGACCCTTACCGGGGGGGGGGCATCAGGTCCTCAATTTTCCAATAAAGGGGAGGATGCATTTTTGTCATAAGTTTCAACTAAAACCACATAGTGCCACAGGCTGAATGCAGAAACAGATAGGAGCATCATCTTGTCTTCTATCCAGCCAGCATTGGACAAATTTGCTAAAATGCAGAACAAAGCCACACTTCTCACTAAACGAGTTTTTAAAAATCCAGCTACTTTCCTAAAGTGTTTCTTATATTAACATGAGTAGATCGTTCCTTTATGTTGAATCAAAGGTTGATTATTATTCTTTTATATGTGTTAATAACTAAATATTCTCAAAGAATCTCAGTTTTATTTACTAATATGGTAAGAAAGGAGAGTTATAACTCCCTTAAACAAAAGCCCTCTAGGGGACTTAATAGGTTTCTAGGGTAAAGAAATCATGAGGCCAAAATGTATGAGCACTCTCTCATTATAGTTTGTCTCACTATCGGTAATGTTATCTTATGTTTTCCTTAAAGTCTATCTTTAATGTGATTATTATGGGTGTAATTCTGTGGGAAATACTGTGAGTTTGGGAAGTTGATCTAGTCTTCTGCAACTTGTGTTCTTTCTGTCTTTGCTCAAATATATTCCATCTTCATTCTTTTACCTTTCTAGGTAGATGACCACATCTCTTCCTTTCTAATCCTGATACTCCTTCTTTTGATATCTTTCCTGAAGCACCTCTCCTGGTTTTTTGTTCCCGGTAATGAGTCACAGAGATAGTGAGTAACTTTGACTTGTTCCTGATCCTAAAACGAAACGCTCCTAGCTTCCCATTTCATATAGTATTTGCTAGTTTTGCAGTATATATTCTTAGTTAACTAAGAAAGTCCTAGTCGATATTATGTTGAGAAGCTTTTTAAAAATCTTTAATATTTGTGTATATATCATTATGTTGTCTATCTAAAATAACACAATGTATGTATCAACTGTATATCAATTTTTAAAGTCATAAATAGGAATTGAACTTTAGTAATCCTGGGCTGTTGCCTAGATTGATATAATTATATGACATTTCCTTTTTAGTTTATTCATGTGGCTAACCACATGATAGATTTTCTGATGCTGAACTACACTTCTTCTTCATGGAATGAACCATGTACATTCATTCCCTTTCTGGTCTCAACAGATGCAGCATCTGAGCCTGGTCAGAACTATAGCATGGTGTATGAATTCATCATCGTTGGCTTCTCCAACTTCCCACAGCATCTCCTGCCTGCATTCTTCCTGCTGTTCCTGCTCATGTACCTATTCACGTTGCTGGGGAACCTGCTCATCATGGCCACTGTCAGGAGTGAGCACAGCCTGCACACGCCCATGTACCTCTTCCTGTGTGCACTGTCCATCTCCGAGATCCTCTACACCTTGGCCATTACCCCACGCCTGCTGGCCGACCTGCTCTCCACCCGCCGCACCATCACCTTTGTGGCCTGTGCCAGCCAGATGTTCTTCTCCTTTACATTTGGCTTCACCCACTCCTTCCTGCTCACCGTCATGGGCTATGACCGTTACGTGGCCATCAGCCACCCCCTGTGGTATAACGTGCTCATGAGCACTCGCACCTGTGCTCATCTGGTGTCCTTGTCCTGGGCTGGTGGCTCAGTCATGGGGATGATGGTGACTCTGATAGTTTTCCACCTCACCTTCTGTGGGTCTAATGAGATCCATCATTATGGCTGCCATGCCCTTTCCCTCCTAAAGTTGGCCTGTGGGAAGGAGACATCCTCTGTCACCTTGGGTGTGATCCTGGTGTGTGTTACAGTTTTGATGGGATGTTTATTTCTCATCATCCTCTCCTATGTCTTCATTGTG